AACATAACAGCAAATGTACAATGTTTCGACAAGGTTTTGTCATTATCACCTGAACAATCATGATTTTATAGTGAGTAATTTACATTTAACCTCATATCTGGGGCAAAAGGGTTAATACAAAGCTATTCATGTGCCGTCAATCTAATTTCGCTTACGTAATTAATTGTGAGTGATGCATTCCTGGGCAAATCATAGGAAGAAAATAGATTAGTAGTTGCAAGTTGATCACAAAAAAACTTTTTGTTTCTGTTAAGCCAAGATAAACTACTTATTATGATAACAGTATCTATTCAAAAGCTATTCAAGACTTTTAGATTACCTGATGTTTCAGCAATTTGATGTGCCAAAAATAATTATTTAACATGATTTAGATAATTTTACTCATGGTGAGAAATATATAAAAAAAACACTTTTTAATTCATTTCTTACTGCCCACTTCTTCGTTGGCTGCAATGTCAGATTATAGGCCTTAAAAAAAGTTGCATATACACAGTATGGATCAATGATTTATCAAACTTTATCCTCTAAATCATATTGTCTCAACACGCACCAAACAGCTAGTCTCCTTTATATCAAAGGGAAGTAAGTAGGTACCCTTTTTACTTACCAACATGTCTCATATAAATAGGTCTAGCTATAAAATATACCCATAATGTACGGGCTTATCATAATATGTTCCATGTCATTCTTGCAGTAGATTTATCTTTTAAGGAATTACTTACGTTGTTCAGTTACAGCCCAGTCTGTCATATATATATATATATATATCCAATAAATTACACATGCTACCCACTTAGTATGCATTCCAGCTGTCATGCTTCAATTTGTCATTGCTATAAATTTTGAAATTTGAGAACTACTGTGTGTTTCGTTCAGGTGAAGTGCATGCAGACAGTTAGTACAATTTAAAAGTAAAAGTCTGTGAGAAAGACATCCATATTAAATAAAACAAAAAAACAGTTGTATAGCTGCAGGAACTAAAAAGTACAAACACAACTGAGGTATGGTTAGTTCAGGGATTTGGGAAGTTGGAACAACATTAAGGTATGCTAGTTTGATGGCAGATTTCTGACACAGTTAAAGAAAAGCAAACACCAAAAGCCAAGAAGTGTAATACGTATATCTATATAGATTGTCATAAAATTAACACGATCACCACTTTATGCCTAAAAAGTAAAATGAAAAACAAAATATTGCATCTTTCGTAATTACTATGAAAATGTTGCTGTTTGTTGAGACTTGTGACTGAATTGAAAATAATTTCTTGCCTATATTCTAAAAAATCAGATTTCAAAAACACCACTTCATTTTGAAGTGTTGTCACTTCTTCTATAATGATCACTTAAATTTGATAATTTTATTGTCTGGAACTCTGAGAGTCATTTTAACCTAAATGGTGATCACATTTTTCTCTTTCTTTCAGGGATTTTGACCACTGTTTTGTATTTTCAGGTTTTATCATACTGTAATGGCATGTGTTTGTTTTGTGTTACGTTCTAGTATGACTTGACAAGTGAATACAAAGAAACTATTAAAACTTTCAGTATTTATCAATTTCAGTGCAAGCTTTATTTTTTAGAATTCCACATAGCTGGTCCCAAGCCTGGTTGAGAAATGAGGACAGTTCCAATCAGGGCTTGTAACCTGGGTGTAGAGACTTTGCAAAATGAATATAAAGAAGAATCACAGGGTACGCCATAAAATTAGGGCATCCCCTGTAGGCAAAGTGCACTGCCATCCCCCAGGTGGTGTTAAGAGTTGGACCAGCAAAGGCAGCTAAAGAATAGATCTGGGAAACTAAAGATAGCAACATGGAATGTCAGTACAATGATTAGAAGATTGAGAGAACTAGCAGATGTGCTAGAAGGGAAAATACTGTACGTGTTCAAGAAATAGCTGAAAGAGCTTGGAAAAAAAAAAAGAGGCTTGAAAGAAAAAATAGAAGTTACCATGAGTAGAAGAGGTAGGAAGAAGAATGTTAAGACCATAGATGTAAATGAGAAACCAACAGAAGTACAATCTAAACTGAAGGATGAAGTGAGAAAGCTGTGAGAGATAGAATCCAGGTGGATTGGAGGAAATGGAAGAAACTAGCCACAGTCATCTGTGGCAAAAGGTTACCAAGGACACTGAAAAGCCAAAGTGCATAAGGCCATGATTAGACCTGTGCTCCTCTATGGAACCAAGACCTGGATCCTCAAGAAGAAAGAAAAAGGCTTTTGATAAGAACAGAAATGAAATGCTGAGATGGCTGTTGGGAGTGTCACTGAAAGAGAAGAGGACACATAGAAAAATTAAAGAAATGGCAGGAGTCTGTGGAATAGAGGAAAAGGCAAGAGAAGCAAGGCTGAGGTGGTTTGGTCATAAGAAGATAAGAGCAAGCAATAGGGAGAGCATTAGAGTACCCACCAAGAGAAGACAGCAAAGGCCAGTAAAGTATTGGAAAGATGGGATTAAAGAAGACGTGAATGAGAAAGGAACTGCAGAAGACCTGGCAATTACTAAAGATTATTGGAGGAGGGCAACACATGTGAAGGACAGTGACCCCTGCTAAAGGGAAAAGCCAAAGAAGAACAGTTGACTAAGAAAACATTTTACTCCAAAGAAATCATGTTATACTCGTTAATTTCCACCCTGTACTTATAGGACTTAGTAGAAGTTGTGGTACAAGTTTTATTCACTTTTTTTTCAGTTAATCTGTAAACATTAAATAGAGAACAAACATACATTTGATTTGATTTTGTTGTTTTTTTTTACTTACCGCACAGCTTCCTTATCTCCTTGTTTTATCATCAAATCTATATACACTGACCACAGATCTGTACGTTTAGTGTAATTGGTTAAAATGTTTTCAAACAAGGTGCATCCCCGCTCTGCATCACCAAACTTGAATTCCATTTGGCCAAACTTGGAGATGACATCCACATCTGTTAAAAAACATTTAGATCAGTTTCAGAAAACTTTTAGTGACTGTTTAGTATTATTATTTTTTTAATGTACATTAATTAGTTGTAAGAATAACTAATTGTTGTTAAAAGGTTTGTAATGATATTTGTACACTACCAAAAATAAATAATTGTTGTGAAAAGCTTAGTAACAAAATATGTACAGTACAAGAATAATTAATTGTTCTGAATAAGTTTTCAGCCATATTTTCTTTTACTTCACAATGGCTAGATGTGGCTCAAGTATGTAAAATAGGCTTCAATTTTTGATTCTTGAGCTCTCCAATTTTTGTGGGTTCTCTCCAAAGATTAGATCATTAGTGTTCACCACAAACAGTGCAACTAAATAAACATTTTGAAGCCTTATCACAAAGGTTGTCTTAAATCTAAAAAAAAAGAGGAAAATAACTACAAGCACACACCTAAAAGTGCTGAAAATATTGCTACTACTAGTTACAACATGCCCTAAAAATATCAAAAATGCATCTATAAGAAATCATGCTGCTATACGACAATAAATTTGTCAGTATAACGCTTGAAAAGGTGAAGATTCCAAAGAGTTCCTTACATCAGTAAAAAATTTGAATGAACAAATAACAGCTGATAACAACCTTGTTAGATTATGGAAGTATTTCTCATTGAGCAGTCAAGCTAGTTTATTTATGCACTGTTCCTAATATGAGACCAAATTTAAACATGTTATCCAATAGACAGCAAGATCACTGGAAAGAAGAGACCAAGAACAGATCAGAAAATAAGTTGAAGCTTGTGAATATAGTTAGAGGAGCAAGCAGGTGGTCATAGAAAAAATTAAAAAAGGCATAATACATAAAGTTGAAACACAAACTAATGACATCTTTTAGACAGCTTCTTATATTTTGTCATAAGCAGAAAAGACAACTAAATTTTAAATCTGATCTAAACGATGGCCAAACAACACTGAGAGGAAATCACTTGATAAGACATCATAGAAACATCGTAAATATTATCATGAATAAGATTCTTGAATAACAGAAAGACAAAAAAAGCATTAATGAGAAGAAACAAAAGCATCAAAATTCTGTATAGGAAAATATAAAATTTCTCAATGAGTTACATACATAAATTACACAAGAAAACATACAGTTCTAAGTGAAGTAATATACATAAGTATATATAAGTTTGGAAAGGGCAAAACTTCAGATACGAGTAAAATATAAACTTCGATTGGGTTAAAATGGAATTTCAGGAAGATAAACCACACCTTGTTACTCAATTAAAAGCTTGTTTAACTACCTCATTTTACATAGGTTACTTTTTGTAAATGATGTTAAGTGTACAGGAGGACTGAAGTAGGTAACACTCAATGTTTGCGTTGTATAGATACACTCCACATGCTTAAAGATAATATCAATACACAAAAAACATAAACAGAAGTCACATTTTGTTTGTTATAACAACAAAGTATTCTACGGTTTGATAAATAAAATAAAATATGACTAAGTTTTACCACATTAGCATCAGCAGCAGATGGTCATGATGTAAACAGCCAAACTTAGATATTCTATACTCTTTTTTAAAACCTTGTTTTAGCTGTTTTTAATTATTATTATTATTTAAAACAATAAAAATTTAATCTTTAGCTTTATAAAATTATGGCTAAGGAAACGTTTTTCTAGTTATTTAGTTTAAAATATCAATTTCACTGTGAAATTTACAAGATGTAGCAAGATGCCAAATGTTAAGCTACTTCATAGTTTTCAAAAACACAACACTAATTTTATATTATTGACATACAAAAGCATAACAAAATTATCCTACCTTACCCCATTACACATATATACACC